GTGGAGCCCAGTGCTGCTCTGACACCCATGGGGGCGCCGTGGTCCCAGCACCCAGCGCAGCTTCAGAGGCGTGGCTGGGCGGTGTGAAGAGCGCCCCGGGCCTTTCAGGGCAGGCAGGCTACTCCTCCCACCGTCAGCACCTGGGTCCTACCCACTCGGCTGGGTCATCTGGGCCCCCCAGAGGATGCTGTGGTGGCCACATGCTGACATTTAAACGCCATCCTAATACCCCGAGGCTATGAGGACCACAACCCGGAGCCGCATCAGTGAGAGTCTGGGGCGGCCTCTTGCTGGCTGGGGACTGGCTTTGCCTGTCCACACTAGCTGCCTTTTGGTTACAGCCCATGCTTCCTTTGTTCCTCTCCTCTCAGACTTTCTGAGACGGAGGTTTGGGTGACTGACACTCATCATGCCTGACCAGGACAGGCTTTGTAAGATTCCTTTGCCTGTGAAACTCGTGCCCTTGTTTCTAACCTCACCTGTGTCTTGGAGTCCCTTGGACCCCGGGAAGCATAGCCCCAGGCCTAGAGATTTTGGCAGCATTAGATGGCCCCAGGCATTGGGGTGTTCAAAAGTCTCAAACAAACCCAAAAACCTGAACCAAACCTGCTGCCATCGCATACATCCTGACTCCTGGCGACCCCGCGGGCTGCAGAGTCGTAGTGCTCTGCAGCAGGGTCTTGGCTGTAATCTCTGTGGAGAGGAGGCTGGTGGCTCAGGGGGTCTCTGCTCGACCGTTCACCAGTGCTGCAGAAAGCTGTACAGCCTGCGTCGGCGAAGATGACGGCCTTGGAAAGCCTGTGGGGCAGTTCTGCTCGGCCCGGCAGGGTCTCTAATGAGCTGGATTGACTTGACAGCAACAGGTCTTGTTTTTTAAACCTTTGTGGAAGCAGTTCACCAGGCTTTTCACAAAGCTGCTGGGTGGGTTAGAACCACCAGCCTTAATAGCAATCCATTGCAAGCCGCCGCACCCTCTCAGCCTGCTTTCATGAGGATTTACAGCCTTGGAAACCCTATGGGGCAGTTCAGCTATGTCCTGCAAGGTCACTGTGAGTCAGAATTGACTTGATGGCGGTGGGCTGGGTTGGGTTTGGAGTGTTGCGTGATGCGCAGGCACCACAGTTTAACTTAACAGTTGAAGGGCAGCTGGGTTGCATCCAGTTAATTGCAAGTAAAGCTGCTATGAACATTCAAGTACAGGTTTCTGTGTAAACAGAGTCTTTTGTTTCTCTGGAATAGGAGCCCAGGAGTGCAGTTGCTGGGTGGAGTATATGGTAGTTGCCCCACAAACCGTTTCCTAGTCCGGCTGTATGGTTTGTGCTTCTTTGTTCTTTTAAGTGGCTTAGCAGCTGAAGGAAAGATTCACTACAGGCCCTGGTCTATGAAGCAGATAGCAGTGGGGCTGCCCTGGTTGAGGGGTGACTGGGAGCCCCACCTGCAAGGGCTCCTCAGCCATCTGAGACCCCGGTGTCCCAGGGACCTCTTCACTCACTGAAGCAGCAGGAAGAGATGACCCGATCCCCTCGCCCGAAATGCGGGGCCGTCCCGGCTTGTGGAGCTGGTGTTCACTCTGCACGTCACCCTGGGGCCTTTGTTTTGAGCTGAGCTTCGTCTCTGGGGTCCTTGGGCATAGGTAGTATGTGTCAGGAGAGAAGGCACCTGTGTGTCCCTGAGCAGAGCCCTGCAGCTCGCTGGCTCCCGTGCCCGCGATGGAGACATGCAGCCAAGGGCTCTGTCTCTGTGCTCCTGCTGGAGTCAGCAGCCCGTGTGCTGCCCGTGGGCCAGGAAGTGTGCAAGAGCGAGGAGTGAGTACAGCTAGAGGGGCGGGTGGTGAGCCAGGCCAGCTGAGAGGAAGGAAGTCGCAGCTAAAATAAACCGGGAGGGGGTGACAGAAAATGTGCTGATCAGGGTGGGGTCAGAGAAGACTGTCTGAAGAGAGAGAAATGGGGACAGCACCTGGGGAGGGATTTTGTGCTGCTGACCCTTTTAAGTCCACGGACAGCTGAGGTGGGAGAAGTATCTGCCGTGGGTGCGAGAAGGGCGCCAGAGCACATGCGTCTGTGTGTCTGCTGTTTCCTGTAGCCCCACTTTGTCTAAGCTCTGTCAGACACATCCTTCCATTGCCTGCTTCTCACCCCTCACCTCTTACCCGAGGTCTGGGCAGGTGGGCCCCGTCTTACCAAATAGCTCGCCATCTCTGAAAGGCCAGAGGGAAGCCCTTGTTGGGCAAAATAAGCACCACTTTGTGTCAGGCAAGGAGCTCTGGCAATGTAGTAGTTAAGACATTTGGCTGCTAACCAAAAGGTTTGTGGCTCGAACCCACCAGCTGCTTCACAAAAGATGTGGTAGTCTACTTCTGTAAAGACTGCACATTTAGAAACCCTAGGGAGTTGTTCTGCCCTGCCCTGTAGAGTCAGTATGAGTCGGAGAAGACTCAGCAGCAGTGGGTTTTGAGTTGTGTTCGTGTCAGCCCCCCTAACAGACCACCAGGCAGGCACTGGGCCAACTCAGCAGCATGGGGAAGGTCACTGCAACTCCCAGGGCTCCAGCTTTCGCCTTTGATCTCGAAGCCTGGTTCTTAAGGCTGAGCTCCATCCTGCCGACTGGCTGATTCTGTAACTTCCTTGGAGAAGCAGAAGCCGGCTTTCAAAACAATCTGGCCTGAATCTTTACAGCTATTTACTTTTGCAAGAACAATGGCGGTAGTAAAGAATTCAAGTCACAGTGCAGCCATTTAAAGTGAGAGCTCAGACAGTCACAGGACAAAGCCGGCCTGAAAGCTGGTTGCACGGGAAGTCGGCCCGTGCCTTAGGAATGGGGTTGGGTGGACAGTGTCGGAACCAGAATCCAAGGGGCTGGGGTCGGCTGGTAGCCTCTGTCTCGCACATGGTGCCAGGTGGAAGGACTGGAAAGCTAGAGGTATGCTGGGCCCTTGGGGTGGAGCGGGGACCTCTGAACTGTCTGTGAACTGTGGGTTCTCATCTCGTGTGTTCTTTGCAGACACAGAATGTGCAGCTTAACAAAGAAATGACGCTCACCAGCAACCGGAGCCTGGCAGAAGGGAACCTGTTGTACCAGCCACAGCTGGACTCCCTGAAAGCAAGTCTGACGCAAAAATACCAGGAGCTTCAGCTGCTCTTCGAAGCCTATCAGATAAAGCAGACCAAGCTGGGTAACTTTCATGGGGGATCTTTCCAGGAATAAAGAGCTGGGCGGAGGACAGCCTGGCACACTGTTGCTCTGCCAGAAGGAAATCCAATAAGGAAAGTTCCAGGTGGAGGAGATGATTCTGCTGCAGTGAAAAAATAGTTTCTGTCCAGAATGGGGTCACCAACTTAGAAAAGCAATGCCGCCTGCTAGTTGAAGATGCCCCCTGGCAGCGTGGAGGTGGTGGCCCTGTTCTGGGTGTGACGTTTTCTTCACAGTTAATGATGAGAAATACCACTCGCCAGAACATTTTATTTAATGTCACACTTTAATTTGCATCCATTATGAAGAGACCAGGGCACTTTCACTAGCTTTCAAAGGGTCATCTGGGTTACAGGTAGCCCGGTAAAAAGCGTCGTCTTCTGGGAGGCTTGCCGGCTGCTGTAACCCCCTTCCGGTAGCCCTGTGACTTCAGTTTGAACTTCCTGTCACGCCAGCCAAAAGGGTCCGCAGTCAGAGTCTGGCAACAGATCCAAGTGTGGGGAGCTGATTTGGGAATGTAGGTTGGTTAAAACACCTTGGAAGACTGTCTGGCGGTGCCTCCTGGAAGTAACCACCCCCGTGTTCTGTGCTGCAGCCGTTCCACACCTGGAGTCCGCCTAACCGAAGTGGGCATTTAGGGCCCTCAAAAGATACGTACAAGAACGTTTGTTGCAGCCCAAACTTAGAAAGACTCTAACTGTCCATATACAGATGATGGGTACAAATTGTGATGTACACACAGTGGGATCCCGTACAGCAAGTGAACTGTAGACACACACACACCTTGGGTGATGTCAGTGACTCAGCACTGGGTGAAAGCAGCCACACACACAGACTTAGATCAGTAGAGGTGTTACCTTTGGGGAGTGTCATCTGGCGGTGGGTCTGAGGGTGCCTTCTGGAACCATCCTTTATCCTGACTGGCCTGCAGCTGACCTGAGTGGTAGTTTTTGAGTTTACACGTATATGTAAATAGAATGTAAATATTCGAGCCGTATACTTCAGGTTCGTCCACCGTATGTGAGTGATCAGTCAGAGTGGGAAGGAGATACAAGTGTCCTGGAAATGAGCTGATGCAGGCAGCACTCCTGTGCTGTAATGAGCTTTGGTCTGGAAGGGAAATGAGAAGCAGTATGGACAAGCTTGTCATTCTGGGGGCTGGGGGCATTGTGGTTCTGAGGTTGCACCTGGATGTCCCCTCACTTCAAATTTCTTGCACTTCCAGATAAACAGTCGAAGAGTGCTTCCTTGGAGACCCTCCTGGCACTTCTCCAAGCTGAAGGGGCCAAGATTGAGGAAGACACGGAGGTAAGTCCTGTTCTCAGATCCTGGTTCTCCTGGGTAGTGCCCAGACCCAGTCCTGGTGTGGTGTAAGAGTGTCACCACGCCAGAAGTGGGACTCAGGCTGGGCTGGCGCCACCGGGGCTACAGGGGCAGGGTGTGCAGGCCACCTGTGAGGAGGGCTCAGGCCAGGGCCGGGCCAGGCTTTGGGGAAGCAGTGGGGAGCCTAGTCCCCAGTGATGATGTTGGCACTGGGCTGCTGAGTCAGAGGCCGATCCTGGGGGAGTTGGTAGCTTCCTTTCCATCTGCTGTGTGGGTGTTTGAGTCCGTGGGTGGTCCCAGTGCCTTCTGGAGTTGAGTATTGCAGGGTGTGGCCTCAGGGAAATGAGTTGGGGGCTGTGGGTTTGAACCGACCATCTCTCACTTAGTAGCCGTGCTGCGCTTAACTGTACTGCCCAGGACCCCATAATGTAGCCCAGAGGTGTCTCGAGTCGGGGCTGGCACTGTCACTAACATTAGGCTGCTGGTTCCTGTCCAGGGTGTCAATGAGTGGGCAGCCAAGTATGAAGAAGAGAAAATTGGCCTGCGTTGTCCTGAGGAGGGAGGGCAGGGCTGGGCATGGGGGTGACTTGCTCAGTGCTACAAGGCCCCTGCATCTTATTGACCCCCTCCTGTCCTTACTTCTGGCATTGAGGGGGACAGGGACCCCCCCTCCCCAGCTCTCTGGCTCTTTGCCCCCCCCACCCAACAGTGGTGGTTCAGTCAGATGGTGTCGGTGGGAAGCTGGGGTGTTGCCTCTCTCTGCGTGGCTGTTCTTGGAGCCCTGGACAGTGCAGGGATTTTTCTCCCTGATGGCTGGCATGCCCCCATAACCAGTGTCACCCGCATCTTTCAGAACATGGCGGAGAAGTTTCTTGATGGTGAGCTTCCCCTCGATGCCTTCATTGATGTCTATCAGAGCCAGCGGAAACTGGCCCACATGCGGAGAGTTAAAATTGAGAAACTCCAGGAGATGGTGCTAAAGGGGCAGAGACTCCCGCAGGCCCCGGCCCCGCTGCCACCCAGGATGTCAGAGCCCATGCCTGTTGCCCCCCTGCCCTACTCTGTCCCCGAGGCCAGTGGGCCAACCACTGTCGCGCCACGGCGCATCCCCCCTCCGGTGCCAACAGGACGCTTAGCCACCCCGTTCACATCCGCCACAGGCTCGGGACAGGCCCTCCTGTACCCTGGATTACAGTGCCCTCCACTGCCACCCCGAGTGGGCCTCCCCCCGCAGCAGGGCTTCTCCACGCAGTTTGCGACACCATACCCGCCAGCCCTCCCTCAGCGGCCCCCACCCCGGCTGCCCCCGCACCAGCCGGGCTTCATCCTCCATTGAGTGTGCCCAGCCATCCCGGGGCTTTGCACACGCCGGAGGATGTTGTGCCACCTCGTTGGGGCACGGTTCCCAGGTGCTGTGGCCATCTGGTTTGAGTAGACACCCAGGCTCTGTTCACAGAGGCAGCTGTGCGGGCCAGCCCTAGACTGGCACCCAGTGCCAGGTGGGGCGACGCATCCTCAGTGTGATTTCTAAGTATCGTCTTGTCGATGAACTTGGGAGTTAAGCCTTCCCCTGTCCATCCCTGTTTAGAAAGTGGTCCTCCCACCGCAGCTTCTGTGTGGCGTGGCTCACCTTCAGAAGACGCCGTGTGTGCCCTCTGCAGGGCTGGCAAGAAGGTGCACCCAGCCCCGGCAGCAGTCATGCTGTCCATGGACCTGTGGGGCCTTCTCGTCACCACCCCTCTGCCCCGAACCCGGCTGCTCTTCGAAGGCCTCAGAGCCACCTTGGTTTGCACTTGACTGGATGCCATGTGCCAGCTGAGAGAGCTGGGCTCATGGGACAGATAGGATGGCACCCCTGCCCTATCCCCCCAGCCAGCCCTGGAGTGTCTCTCCAGAAATACTCCCCTAATATTTTTACTACTCGTGGAATTTACCTGTTTTGTATTGGAGAGAAAAATCTTTTTTGACACTCACAAGACCATTCAGGGAAACTTTATAAAAATGCAAATCTTGTTCTGAGCAGATAGAGGTGCCAACCAAGTGGACGGCGACGTCTTTTCTTGCAAGCGGTGCGCAGTCACCCACGAAACTCGTGCTGTGCCTTAGCGCCACCTGGTGCCAGGATTGGGCCTGAGAGGGGCCAGGCGCCCCTTCCTGCAGGGCTGGGCCAGCCCCGGCCACCAGAGGAGAACCACTCTGCTCTCAGGAAGGAGGGCTCCTCTTCACTCATCATTTGGTCACAGGTGGAAAAGTTGTCCTGCCACCTTCCACTGTGACCCTCTTAGCCAGCGTTCCCTGCCTCTGGCCTCGGGCAGTGGGCTTCAGGGCTGGGTGGGGAGGGGGTGGGTGGGACTCTGAGAAGCTTTGTGGTTTGGTGCAAGTCCAGCCCACAGGGTCTTCCCCTCCAGAGGCACCACACACCTGTTGACAGGTGAATGCCTGAGTGCTCATTGGTAGATTGTGTGCCCCACCTCATCCTGTCAGGCAGCCAGGCCCCTAAGTGACTCCTGCCTAGTGGCTGCTGCCTGGGTGTGCTCTGCCCCCCTTTGCACTCAGTGGTCCCCCATTCTGCTCCTGGTCTTGAACTCCTACTGTATTGTAACTTTGTTGAAACAACTGTACTGGACGATTTGCTGCCACGCCAATCGGATGGGCTTGCCCCTCCTTGAAGCTCGAGAACCGGGCCACTCTTCATACCTCTGCCACCGCTGCCTGGACACCGAGCCCAGCAGCAGAGCTGGCTCCAAAAGTGTGAGCACGGTTGTTGACCTTGTGAAGGGCCCCCCCAGGCTGGCCTTGCCACCTTTCCACGGCTACACCTGGAGCTGTGCCCTACAGCTGTAGGACCTTCCGATGAATGGTCCTGCCACTGACTTGGGGATGTTCATCACGTGTCTGCTTCTGGAACTTCAGGGATCAGAGTTCAAGCAGGAAACCGATGGGGGAGGCCAGTCTTGAAGTTAGAAAGCATCTGGGACTGCAGTGCCCCATGCGGGCTGGCCCCGGCCCCAGCTCCAGCTGTGGGGCCTCCCTCGTCCTGTGTGTTTATCAGAGATGTGTCATGAACGTTGGGGCCGGAGAGCAGTGCATCCCCGTGTGTGTACAGGAGAGCATGTCTTTCAGGGTCGCCGCTGCCCTGCTGGGGCCTCTGAGCCCCTTTACACGATGTCACCAGTTTGCTGCACAAGCAGTGGAAGCTAGTTTGATGTTCTCTGGTTATTTCAATAAACGGTAGACTCCCAGTGGCTCAGACTGTGTGTGTGTCATCGATTGTGGTAACACGTGTCACGGAACCTTGGCATTGTGCTCACAGTGTTGTGCAGCCATCACTATTTCCCTAAATCTCTCATCACCCCAGACGGGGCCATCGTGAAGGCCTAGCCAGCAGGCATCGCTCGTGGAGTGAGGTGGGCTGTCACTGGACAGCAGTGGATGCCAGAGGACATCGTGTCCCCACCATATGGGGGTGTTGAGGGGCAGGAAGGTCTGGCCTCCAGAGGTCAGTGGGGGGTGGTTGCTGCCATCAGGTTGGCCCTGACTCATGCCATACTCCCATGAGGTTTGCATTGACGGCTGGTATAGTGGGTCACGTGGCTTTTATTTTTTTGATGTTTTTCTTTACAGACCTGCTGACAGGTGTTCAAGGGTGCAAGGTGGACCTGCCATTCAGGGTCATAGAGTCTAGTACCCAAGGCGTCTTCCCTGTTAGGTCCAGATGCTTACCCCCCTGGAGGGAGCTGTGTGAACCCTGATGCCCTGGGTGGGGGGCTTCCCCTCAGCATGCCAGTGGGATGCAGGCACCCCCATTCACCTCTCACACTGCCTGTAAACTGGAGCCCTGTCCTGCAGGTCACTGTCCTGGAAGGAAGCAGTTAAGAGGGAGACTGTTCCTGAGAAATCCAGGCCTTTTTTCTTTTTTCCCCAAGGAGAATGTGTCTGATTTTCTCTGTTCCCAGTGGCTGCTAGGAAGCGCACAGCCAAATCTGTAGTCCACCCTCCATCAAGACGCTAGACGTCACAGTATGAACTTTGTGAGCTGCTCTTCCTGAAGCCAGCCTTGTTTGTCCCTTGTCACCTCTAGGGGGCCCTTCTGTTCATGAGAAAGTCCAGGGAGGGACAAGACTGGTTGGAGATAGAAGAGCAGGACAGACGGACAGAGAGCAGCCTTGAGGGTGCATTCCAGACTAGCACCCTGGGGCTGTTCAGGTGAAGGCTTGATCACCAAGGACTGTGGGGCGTGAGTCAAGTGATGTTTCCTCAGCCTCAAATGCAGTCACTGAGGCCAATTCTGAGTGGTTTGTACATCAGCATGTTTTTATTTGGTATAAAGGATGCTTGGCTTTGAAAAGCCAGTTTTCTCTGCAGACAAGAACTAGACACTGGCCTTCTGTGCTGTGTGTCTGTGCTCATCAGCACCACCACACCCACCATCCTGTCTGACGCACAGCCGCCCCGGGGGCAGGTAGGATGGGAGCAGGGGGCCGGAGCCAGCTGGCCAGGAGCTGGCATGCAGGTCCCAGGTCACTTCTCTCCCTCTGGCTGGTGTGTCGTTTTACTCTGCCAGTGTTGGTGAGCTGCAGTAAGG